GAGAAAGGGAGCAGATGATGCTGGCCTCAGAGGAATACCCCAAAGATCAAATGAGAATCTGCCCACGGGGTTCTTGTGCTGTGCTTACTTGCTCAGTCGTGTTGGGGTCTCTTTGAGATCCCAACTGTAGCCCGCCAGGCTCCTCTGTTCCTGGGCATTCTCCAGGCAAGAATACTGGAGTGGGTTGCCATTTCCTCCTACAGCGGATGGTCCTGACCCAGGGATGGAACCCAGGTCTCCCGAATTGCAGGCGGATTCTTTACCATCTGAGCCACCAGGAAGCCCAAGAATACTGGAGCAGGTAGCCTGTCCCTTCTCCAGCGGACCTTCCTGACCCGGGAATCCAACCGGGGTCTCCTGCATTGCAGGGGGCTTCTTTACCAGCTGAGCTCCCAGGGTTCTTAGCAGACACTAAAAACAAGTGAGTCCCACTCTCCTGCTCCTTCCTCGCGTCAGCTAGAAATTCTCCGTGGGTCCCACAGGCGCCCGTGGGAGGGAGTCCTCAGTTACTGCGCAAAGAGACGCTGAGGCCAGAGGGTGGGACGCCCCGGGGCAAAATGCAGCCGCCTCTCTTCTTCCTACCGCTTAGGGGGAAGCTCAGACGCCGCATGGCAAAGGGCTCTGAAGCTCTCACTCGTGTCTGCGCCCGGGGCTTAGGGGCGGAGGTGGCCCAGCCGTGCCCGCTGACTTCACCGTGGGGTGTAGCCCCGCCTGGGGTGGGGAGTAGCCCGCCTGGGGTGGGGTGAGGCCCGCCTGGGGTGGGGAGTAGCCCGCCTGGGGTGGGGCGTAGCCCGCCTGGGGTGGGGAGTAGCCCGCCTGGGGTGGGGTGTAGCCCCGCCTGGGGTGGGGAGTAGCCCGCCTGGGGTGGGGAGTAGCCCCGCCTGGGGTGGGGTGTAGCCCGCCTGGGGTGGGGAGTAGCCCGCCTGGGGTGGGGAGTAGCCCGCCTGGGGTGGGGTGTAGCCCGCCTGGGGTGGGGAGTAGCCCGCCTGGGGTGGGGTGTAGCCCCGCCTGGGGTGGGGAGTAGCCCCGCCTGGGGTGGGGTGTAGCCCGCCTGGGGTGGGGAGTAGCCCCGCCTGGGGTGGGGTGTAGCCCGCCTGGGGTGGGGTGTAGCCCCGCCTGGGGTGGGGTGTAGCCCGCCTGGGGTGGCCCGCCTGGGGTGGGGAGTAGCCCCGCCTGGGGTGGGGTGTAGCCCGCCTGGGGTGGGGAGTAGCCCGCCTGGGGTGGGGAGTAGCCCGCCTGGGGTGGGGTGTAGCCCGCCTGGGGTGGGGAGTAGCCCGCCTGGGGTGGGGTGTAGCCCCGCCTGGGGTGGGGTGTAGCCCGCCTGGGGTGGGGAGTAGCCCGCCTGGGGTGGGGAGTAGCCCGCCTGGGGTGGGGTGTAGCCCCGCCTGGGGTGGGGAGTAGCCCCGCCTGGGGTGGGGTGTAGCCCGCCTGGGGTGGGGAGTAGCCCCGCCTGGGGTGGGGTGTAGCCCGCCTGGGGTGGGGTGTAGCCCGCCTGGGGTGGGGAGTAGCCCGCCTGGGGTGGGGAGTAGCCCGCCTGGGGTGAGGTGAGGCGCTCTTCCAGGAAGTACACCGGGTGGCGCTGTGGAGCAGCCAGCGGCGCGGCGCAGGGCCGCGGAGGCCCGACCAGGCCGCGACGCGGGGCGGACGGGGATCCCTCGGAGGCCCGCCTGCCACCCGGCACAGGCGCCCCGCTCAGGGGCACCCCTCCGACTCATCTGAGCACCAGCCGGAGCACCCCTATCTGAGCTCCTTGCAGAGTGTTGACAAGAGCGGTGACAACGTGCCACGTTCAGTTCTAGGTGCTTCGTGTAAACGTGCGTGTGAGTCCCTCGGTGGTGTCTGACTCTTGCGACCGCATGGACTGTAGCTCGCCAGGCTCCTCTCCCCTTGGGCTTCTCCAGGCCGGCACACTGGCGTGGGTAGCCATTCCCTCCTCCAGGGGACCTTCCCAACCCAGGGATCGAACCCGGGTCCCCTGCGTGACAGGCGGACTCTTTACCCTCTGAGCCACCGGGGAAGCTTCCTGTGCGTTACCTGGAATTTCTCACAACCCTGGAAGCTAAGCACACAAACCACCCTAACGAGAGACACTGGCAGCTGAAGCGCAGAGGCGACACGTTGCCCCAGGTGACCTGGCCATAGGTGGGAGGCAGAAAATTGAGCCCCGTGGCCTGGCCTCCTTACACAAACAGCCGACTTTGCCCCCACAGCTTAGATACCGTTCAGGTTACCTCCAGCGACTTCAGGGAAAAGCAGCAGCCCTGGCCTGGAGAAAATTGCTCAGATGCCTAAGGATCCCACTTCCTCTTGGGTGATGGACCTTTCGGTTGTCATTTTCAAGAAGCCCAAACCCAGCGTGACTGGCATGTGCTCCTGGCCTGTGGGGCTTGCATTCACTTCTTCCCAAAATGTTTACCAGCCAGGCAGCGGGTGCCAGAGGTGCAGACAGGCAAGTTCCCAGTCCTTGTGAACTTTATACTGGGGTTGGGAAACAGCTTACAAGCAAATCCATAAATAAGAAAATTTCAGAAAGTAAAAGAAGAAAAACAGAAAAGCAGGTTGGGATCTTCCTGGTGGTTCAGATGGTAAAGAGTCGCCTGCAATGCAGGAGACCCACGTTCAATCACTTTGCCAACACAGGGCTGTATAGCCAAAGCTATGGTTTTTCCACTAGTCATGTACAGATATGAGAGTTGGACCACAAGGAAGGCTGAGTGCCAAAAAATTGATGCCTTCAAGTTATGGTCCTGGAGGAGACTTTCAAGAGTCTCTTGGACAGCAAAGAGATCAAACCTGTCAATCTTAAAGGAAATCAAACCTGACTATTCATTGGAAGGACTGATGCTGAAGCTCCGATACTTTGGCCACCTGATGCGAAGAGTTGACTCATTGGAAAGACCGTGATGCTGGGAAAGATTGAGGGCGGGAGGAGAAGGGGACGACAGAGGATGAGGTGGTTGAATGGCAATGGACATGAAAGTGTGTTAGTTGCTCAGTCATGTCCCACTCTTTGTGACCCCACGGACTGTAGCCCGCCCAGCTCCTCTGTCCATGGGATTTCCCAGGCAAGAATACTGGAGCGGGTTGCCATTTCCTGCACCAGGGGATCTTCTCAACCCAGGGATCGAACCCAGGTCTCCTGCACCGCAGGCGGATTCTTTACTCTGGGACATGAATTTGAGTACACTCCAGGAGTTGGTGATGGACAGGGAAGCCTGGAGTGCGGCAGTCCATGGGGTCACAAAGAGTCAGACGTGCCTGAGTGACTGAACAGCAACAACAAAGCAGATTAATGGGCCAGAGATTGAGCAGTAGTTGGAGGAAGGGGAGGGAGAAAAGAGTGATCAGGTCAGTGCAGCAAGATCGTTCTGCATGAAGTCCGAGCCGCACATTTCCAAATTCTGTGATCTCCTTCCAGAGGAGGAAATGGCATCTGAGCTGCACAGCACCCTCCTATAACCACCTCTCCTGTCGTAGCGTCAGTTTAGGCACAGGCTGTGTATTAAGCAAGGGAAGACTTGTTTTCCAAGGGCCAGAGGTCTGGAGCTCGGGCAGGCCGTCTGCGCACCTCACTTGCTCACCTGGCCCCAGCAGTAAATGGCACAGAAACGCGGCCCCTTTGGGCTGGGTAGCTGGCTGGGTCAGAGGGCTCTGTGGTAGTTGTTGAAGCTGAACCTCAGTTTTGAGCGTTTTGCAGGAAGGAGCCTGTTCATGCTTACAGTTGGCAGTAGTTCTCACTCTAAGCCAAACTTCCAGCTATGAGCAATAAAGATCCAGCCTCTATGGGCTGCAGAGCCAAAGAACCGAAGGATCCCTGAGAGACTGCCCAGCCTCCGTCTCCAGACAGGGAAGGTGTAAACCCTCCTGGCCCCAAGGCACTGTTTCTCTTCTTGAATGTATCTAAGGGCAGAGGTCACAAAGGAACCCCAAATGCAATCACCCCGCCCCCCATGTCCTCAGGGTTACACTCTGTCTCTGGTTGCAGTGTTTTCATTCAGAAATGTGGTCTCCAAAAGGAGCCTGAGCAAAGGTCATTAAAGGATTGGATTCCTTATCTGGTATCCAGGGGCTGTCTCCCCTGCAGACTGAGCTTCTGTTCTTGTGAAAATGCGAAACATTTAGAGAACAGGAACCTCCCTGTCTTCACCGCTAAGAATGTATTATCTTGATTAAGGTAATGAAGGACGTGCTCTGAAATACGTGGATGCGGACCAAAGCAGATGGATGGAATTAATCTGGGTTTGCCAGCTCTAGCCAGCACACTGCAGGGACTTTGCAGACCATGCCAAGCTCCTCGGGGATGGCACAGTGGAGACGTGCCACTGGGAACAGGCTGAAGGGCTTGGGTGACCCCAGTGACCCGAGTAAGGTCTATGCCTTTGACGCTGAACATGTGTTTTGTTTAGAAGGCAGGATATTTTAAGGCAGTTTCATTTTGGAGATGTTGACAGCTACCATCGGCAGCCCCATTGTTAGGACACAGAGGAAGCCAGGATGAATGAGTCGTGGGCCAGTTTTGTTTTTAACATACTTTTTTGCATCGGGATATAGCCGATTAACAGTGTTGTGATGGTTTCAGGTGAATAGCGAAAGGGCTGAGCCGTAGATAGCCATGTATCCATTCTCCCCCAAACTCCCACCCAGGCTGCCACATAACACTGAGCAGAGTTGCCTGTGCTATAGAGTGGGACCTTGTTGGTTATCCATGTTAAATATAGCAGTGTGTACACGTCCACCAGTCATGGGCCAGTTTCGAAGTCAGAGAGCCCAGCTGTGCCCTGGTTCTGGAACATCGCTCCTCCCTTGGCTGGATCTCTCCTACTGGGCCCCTGGAGCCTCCAGAAGCTTCCCCCGCCCTCCATCTGTGATTCCATCGTATCCTTCAGCGCGTTCATTAACCCCCGCAGTGCTTGCTGAGTGCCTACTGCATGCCGGGCGCTGCTTAGATGGTCATGCTAACCCGGTGATACGACAGTCTCCTGTGCATTGATTGGCCTTCCTCAGTGCAGGGTTCGGGGGGCGGCGGGCGGCTTCCCGAGGACCGTGAGCACATCTTCATTCTTGCATCCCCCAGCCCCTGGAGCAGAGCCGCTGCTCCGTAAACGTCTGTGGAGCCAATGAAGAGAGAAACGGCAACAGTGTAAGAGGGTAGGTCCTCAAACAGAAACGAGCGTTTCTCCCTATTTTTACGGGTGTCAGAACGTTCTTAAGCGCTGCTTCGCCTGAGTCTTCACAGCGGCCCCTTGAGATGCACCTGTCTTCATCTGCGGCGGGAAGGCAGCGGCTCGGGTGGAGGATGAGCCTCTCAGCAGGAGAGGGGACTTTAGAGGTCACAGCCTGTGCTCGTTCCACTCCACAGGGCAGTGCTTGGCGGGGGGCAGTACTGAGCTGGGGAAACCCAGGGAAGGGAGCGATCGCTCCCCACGGAGAACTTCAGAGGAGGCTGGGCCCAAGGCTGCAGGGGGAGGGAGGAGGAAGCCCCCCTGCCAAGGTTCGGTGGCGAGTCATTGAGTCCCTGGTCTGGCCTGTGGAGGTGGCGCTGAAGAGAATCACTGACCATAGGTGTTGGAAGTCAGCTTGGAATGACCCAGCCAAGCAGCTCGTAGCCTGGGGACCCTTACCATTCCCTGGGGGTGCTTCTAAAAGTGTGGTTCCCAGGCTCCAACTCCAGAAGGTCTGGGACGAATCTTTCTAAAACCCTTCCAGGGCCTTTGGGGTGCTGGGGCCCCCTTTAAAAGTCCATTCTGAAGTTGTCTGCCTACTGGACGCTGTCATGGAGTTCAAAGCCGTTTGGGAGGCAGCATGGCTCTGCTGAGTCAAAGGCTCGTTGGGGATGGTCTGAACTGCCCCCAGAGCTTGCAGCCTCACTCCTGTCTCCCAGCTGCACGCCCCCTACCCTTGGACACGTTGGTCCTCTCTTTCCTCTGCCTGAACACCAGGGCGCAGCCTCCGAGGTCGCCTCTGAGTCTGTATGTTGGTCTGGTCTCTCTTGAGCACCGAGCTCACCCTGAACGGCCTGGTGCCGGATGCCGTGGCTGGTGGGGCATCGGGGGGGAGGATGGCAGGGGCGTAGCCCAGCGTGCCCAGCCAGCACCGCGTCTGGGAGCACTTCCAGCTAGTCCCCGGACTGCCTCCTCCACGGCCCCTCTCCAGGACGGACGGCAGTGGGGGCAAATGACAGCTGGTTTCCTGGACTCCCACGCTGGCCTTTGCCGCCTCCATCCTCTTTCTAAAACCCAGATTAAAAAGAGTGAGAAGACTGTGGCTGGGGGGTCATTCATGGCTTTGACCAGGCTCCTGGGCAGCTGAAGGGGGAGGCCTCCTTCCAAGACTATTAGGTGCAGATCAATGGGATGGTTTTCTGCCACTCTGGCGCATGGTTGGTCTCAGACTACAGTCAAAGGAGGTAAAAAGCAGGTACGATACTTACCACACGTGATTTTTAAACATCTACACACCTCTTCCCACTAAGCTGGAAATTCCCTAAGAGCAAAGACCCGCCTGATTCACCTTTGTGCTCTGTGTCTGCTGCCTCTACATGTCCAGTTTGTTGGTTCAATGAAAAGACATGCATTTAACTAAGATTTGAGTCATAAAAATCCAACATGAATATAGTTTAGTTCATGACTCTCTCTCTTTATATATAGAAAAGTACAATGTTTCTGTCACCAAAAATGCACATATCAACACATATGAATATTAAGAACAAATTTCTCTCTCAGGCCTCCCCCATCAGTCCCCACTTTCCTTGGCTGGAAGGAAGTACTGGAATAGTGGAATAGCATCCCAGATTATGACAACAAGTTAATTGCACCTTGAATTTTAATTTTAATATTAAAAATATTTTTGAAAGACATGTAAAAAGTGTTAAGACTAATCAAAGACATGAAAACTATGTTTAAAAAACTTTTAGGTTCTATTTTCAACAAAAGTGAATTCGGGAAAGCAGTAACTTCAAAACTGAAGAAGCTGCAGTGAAACTGTTAGGTCCTTGTTATATAACCCTTCAAAAAGCAAAGCAAATACTGAAGGTTTTTTTGTGTGTATATAACTGCACCAACCTATCCTATTCCTATCAGAGTGGCAGAAGCCTGTCAGTGCTTCCCTGATAGCTTAGTTGGTAAAGAATCCGCCTGCAATGCAGGAGACCCCAGTTCAATTCCTGGGTCGGGAAGATCTGCTGGAGAAGGGACAGGCTCCCCACTCCAGTATTCTTGGGCTTTCCTGGTGGCTCAGCTGGTAAAGAATCAGCCGGTGAAGAATCCACCTGCAATGCGGGAGACCTGGGTTTGATCCCTGGGTTGGGAAGATCCCCTGGAAAGGGGAACAGCTACGCAGTCTAGTATTCTGGCCTGGAGAAGTCCATGGGTTTGCAAAGAGTCAGACACAACTGAGTGACTTTCACTTTCACATCCTATTCCTGCAAATCTGTCCTAAAGAAATAATTCAAAAGCTGCAAAAAGCTACACAAAAGAAGATTCCAGCCTTGACTTCTGAATCAAAAACAAAAAAAATCTGGCAAAGTGCAAATGTTCCCCCAAGGGAAATACTTAATAATTTACAGTAGATCAACACATTGAAATCTTACTCAGTCTTATAATAATTATGAAGACTATAGAAATTTGGAAAAAGAATATAGTTCTGCTGATTTTGCTGGGATTACAAATGTTAAAAATATGCATGTGTGCCTACTGGCAAGAACATAATGTGCAAAATAATGTAATCTTTGAGAATGAGATAACATATACCAAAATATTAACAATGGTTGTCTCTGACTTAAAGGAGCATGGATGGTTTTCAGCTTTTCCCTTCAATCTTCTCTATATTTTCCACATTTCCCATGTGTTTTGTTTTGGAGGGAGAGTATAATGGATTCTAGAGTCAGCCTTTTCAGCCTGGAAAAATCATTTATGATGATGATGCACACTGTGGATTAGCATTTACTTTACTACTATTTCTACAATAAACTCAAGTATTACTTCTTTAAACAGTAAATGGATTAGACACCCAGAGGTTGACCGCTTCTCACGACATCTGTGGCCACCTCTCTGGTCTTCATTGCACACCTGGATTGTGGACCTAATAGCTTCCACTTGATTTCCCGTCTTTCGCTCTGGTCTGGCCTGATCACAGCAGCCGGAGTGCTGATCTGAGTGTATATGTCAGGTTGACCCTCTCACGTCGCCCTGCAGCGGCTCCAGTTCTACCTGGAGGTGCAGCACCTTAGAGGTCCCACGTGCTCTGTCTCCCCACCCCCATCTCCAACCGCTCCACCCACTCCTCCCTCCAGCAGGCCCTTCCCTCCAGCAGACTGCCCTTCCCTCCTTGGGACCTGGGCATCCCCTCTGCCGGGAGCAGTCTCCCCACCCCTGGAGTCCTCATCCCCCCACCCCCTGCTCCCAGGAGCATGGTTGATATTTCAAGTTTTCTGCTGCTCAGGCGTTGCTTTGTCTATGAGGTCTGCCTGGACCAACCACCTCCCCGTGTAAGACCGCGTCCTCTACAAACCCCGTGCTCTCCAGATCCCTCTCACTTTGTTCTGCTTTTCCATTTTCCATCACCTGTATCCTTCTCTATCATACTACTCGATATATTATTTACTATATATATTTTTTCTTTTCTGTCTCAGGCATTAGAATCTAACCTCCCTCAAGGAAGGAAATTTGGGTTTGGTCTGTTTCCCTCAAAGATTTAATACATGCCTGTCTTATAGGTGCCTATAAACATATTTTGAACTACAGCTAATTTAAATAAGATGCACTCCTGTTAGGAAATTCATTAAGCAGGAAAAAAGCAGACTTCCCTGGTGGGACAGCATGTAAGAGTCCGCCTGCCAATGCAGGGGACACAGGTTCGATACCTGGTCCAGGAAGATTCCACATGCCGCAGAGCAACTAAGCCCGTGGGCCACAACTACCTAAGCCTGCGTGCCCAGACCCTGTGCCGGCAACAAGAGAAGGCACTGCAATGAGAAGCCTGTGCGCTGGAGGGAGGAGTGGCCCCGCCTGCTGCAACTAGAGAAGGTCTGTGCACAGTGACAAAGACCCAGGGCAACCGAAAATAAATAATTTTTTTTAAAAAGGAAAAAATCGAGCTGAGGTACAGGCCTGAGTTGGAGAAACTAACAAAGCTCTACAGGGTCTGGATCCAGAGTCTTCGGGACATGGCCCATGGAAGTCAGGTCTGGGTTGACCCTGCGGTTTATCCCTGGGTTGGAGCAAAACCCTGACCAGAAACCAATGTGCATAGGAAGGAAATGCATGATAGTTTTTTGTGTAAAGCGTGTAGAGAATCTCAAAGCTATTAATTGTTTTAATTAAGAGATGCAACTAAAATGTTCACTTCACTTAATGTACAGTTTAACTCAATTACCATCTAACTCTAGGGGTGTGATTACCGGCCAAGGTTACTTTATAAGAAACCCTTGTTTCAGTAAAATAATACATTGTTTATCTGAGCCTCTTCTGTGCCTCCCTCCCCTGCCTCTGTTCATTCCATTCATCCAAATCCAATATCCGATTTGGGGTGCATTTCCTCTCAAGAGGGCAGATAAAACCACTGTCTTTGGTGCAATTAACAAAGCTCCTTGTTTCATAATTTCCACACCCACCTGTTCTTCTGTTCTTTGCAGTGAGGAGATCTGAGCCATAGGGCCTTGGGCCAGCTGATAGCTGTGCCTCTCTGACATCCACCCTCTAGCAGAGAGGTGGGACCATATATCTGCTCTGGCTGGTGGGTGCCACCGACAGACATCCTGGGTCTGCTCCAGACCCAGCCCACTGTTAACAGGAGTGCCCAACCAGCTGCAGGCAGACCATTCAAAAAAACGAGGATCACGGCATCCGGTCCCATCACGTCATGGAAACAGATGGGGAAGCAATGGAGACAGTGACAGACTTTGTTTTCTTGGGCTCCAAAATCACCGCAGATGGTGACTGCAGCCCTGCAATTAAAAGACACTTGCTCCTTGAAAGAAAAGCTATGACCAACCTAGACAGCATATTAAAAGGCAGAGACATTACTTTGCCAACAAAGGTCCATTTAGTCAAAGCTATGGTTTTTCCAGTAGTCATGTGTGGATGTGAGACTTGGACCATAAAGAAGGCTGAGCACCAAAGAACTGATGCTTTTCAACTGTGGTGTTGGAGAAGACTCTTGAGAGTCCCTTGGACTGCAAGGAGATCAAACCAGTCAATCCTAAAGGAAATCAGTCTTGAATATTCATTGGAAGGACTGATGCTGAAGTTGAAATTCCAATACTTTGGTCACCTGATGCAAAAAGCCAACTCATTAGAAATGACCCTGATGTTGGGAAAGATTGAGGGCAGGAGGAGAAGGGGACGACAGAGGATGAGATGGTTGGATGGTATCACTGACTCAATGGACCTGAGTTTGAGTAAACTCTGGGAGATGGTGAAGGACAGGGAAGCCTGGTGTGCCGCAGTCCATGGGGTTGCAAGGAATCGGACAGGACTAAGCGACTGAACAATAACAAAGTCCACTGGGGTAAATCCCAACTTGTCAAATTATCTTGTCTATTAAGAAAATGGATTATGTATCCAGAATCCGACCATCTCTCATCAAGTCTATGACTACCATCCTGGCCCAAGCCACCACCATCTCGCCCCTGATTACTAACAACGTCCAGGAGTAGGTCTCTCATCTTCCACCCCGACCCCTACAGTCTGCTCAGCTCCACAGGACCGTGGGACTGAGGCTCGCTTCATTGAACCTATTCGAAACTGTCATATCAGCTGCTCATCTTCTTGAGATGAGATCTAAGTGTGTCCAAAAACACTTCCAGGGACTTGGGCTTGGGCATCAGCTGTTCAGGGTGGCTGCTGTCTCCTCAAGCGTTTGAAGACAGGGGCACGCGGAGGGATGTCAGCCAGGGCTGGTGGAAACTGCCCTCATCAGGAAAGGAAAATGTGGCATCGCCAGTGTAGACACAAAATAAAACACCCAGTTTCATGTTGGTAATGTGAGTGACTGTCTTGTGTGTTGATGAGTGAGTCACCAAGGGTCTGCTCCTCTTGGATGGCTAACTCGTCCACAGTGGGCCCCTGCCACCCCCCACCCGGCTTCTATGGTGGAGTTTGGTTGGTTCTGGTTTCAGGGCAAGGGTAAACATGCTCAAAGTCTTAACTTTATTGTGGGGTGTTGCCTTGATGGGACTAAGAAAACAGATATGCCTGTGTTATTCTCGGAATGATTTCCAAACTAACGCTGAAGCAAAGTGATCTAGTTTTCTTTGCAATTCTGTTTAAGAGGCATAAAAGTAGATCCACTGACTATATAAAAGGCTCATCTAAAGTATACCCTGAACCACAGGGAACTGTGCATCCTTTTATCTCAACTTATGATGAAGCCCTTAGTAAAAAAATGTGTAAAGAGAAACTTTTTTTGCTTCTTGGGGCAAGGTGGCTTTCTTTGCCATCAGACAAAAGGTTTCAAATGGTTGTAGAGTGTGAACAAAAGCAAAGTCTAGTGTGTGGGAGGCCTTGCTGTTGTCATGCCTGATAAGAGTGATCTGTCACTAGTCCTGGAAGTTCTGCACTGGAATAGAAGCCTCAAGCCTTGTCGTGTTGGTTGTTTTGTCTGTTTGTTTGTGGGGCACTCAGGGTGGCTGCCAGCCCACGGTCACGCCTACCTTGCCTCTTCAGCAGGGTTGCCCTGGATTCGCGGCTGTGGGCTGGGTCCCTGGGTGCTTTCAGGGCAGGAACTGCAGTGTTAGAACCTGCCATCTGTTGGTGAAAATTTTTTGGGTTCTACGAGATGAGTCACTTCTTTCTCCTGCTGTTCCTTCTGTTGCCAGTTGAATTTACCTACTGGACTTTATCAGGGGATGTGCTGGAGCGGCTTGGCATGAAATACTTTGTCTTGTGCAAAGTTCAGGTCCCTGACGAGTGATCATCCCAGGGCCAGTGCTAGAAGAGGTGGGGAGGAGGCTCCCCTGAGTTTCCACAAGATGGAGAGAAGATCAGACGCCATCCAGCCTGGCCCTCACTCCAGAGCCCTCCTAGATAGAGCGACAGCTGTCACCTTCAGCTGGCTGGAGTCCACAGTCTAAGGTGCTTCCACATTTTCTTGCCAACGCCATCATGCTAGGGTGCCAACGCCATCATGCTAGGGTGCCATCATTGGCCAGCAAGCGTGGCACAGGGCAAGCCTTGGGTTACTGTTGGTTAAACAAGTAAGTCAGGTCTGCTGCAGAGGGGCCACCTTCAGACCTACTAGGGCCACCAAGAGTTGGGTCCTGGGCTCGGCTTAGCCCATGGGGCCAGGGCACCTGATGGGCAGTACCACCTACAGAGCCAAGAACTCTTGAAATTCTGATACAGTCTGTTCTTGCCAATCTCAAAAGGAGAGTTTGTGGAATGATCTGGGGGAGAAATTCAGAAGTCTCTTTCCATACAAACAAGCTTAATGCTTTGATAGGCTTCCCTGCTGGCGCAGCTGGTAAAGAATCTGCCTGCAATGCAAGAGACCCCCTGCAATGCAGATCAGGTTTGATCTCTGGGCTAGGAAAAGCCCCTGGAGAAGGAAATGGCAACTGACTCCATTATTCTAGCCTGGGAAATCCCAGGGACAGAGGAGCTGTGGGCTACAGTTCATGGGGTCGCAAAGAGTTGGACACGACTTAGTGACTAAACCACCACAATGCTCTGGTATGAGCTGAGATCAACAGCTTTGGGAAGGGCAGACATCTGGAGTGCCTGGGAAAGAAGAGTTGGAACTCACAGCAGAGCCAAGTGCTTTGCCAAGGAGAAAACTGCAGACCGGGTCCACGCAGCTGCTGTCCATGGGCCAAGTGTGGTGGGTGGTGGCTGAAGTCTTGGGCTGAAATAAAATGACTTCTCTACTGACTCATTTTCATGTAAATTGACCTTGTTAGTATTATCATCTTTTGTCCCCTCCAACACACACACACACACAAAGCTTATTAAGGGGTTTCAAATCTAGCTTTATTAACAGATCCCCAAATATACTCAAGTATTTCTATGCTTTATGCTTTCCATTTTTTTTTCCCACCACCCCAAAATTCTAAGCTAACAGCAGCAGCAAATCCCTAAGTGCACAACATTCTAACTCCTTCAAGCATGCTCCATTTCACTGCAGTTTTCTAAAGATTTCCTGCCTGGAGAAATTACCAAGTCCCAGGTGGGTGGGATTTTATTCTTACCACAGAGTAGGTGTGATTTCGTGGGAGGCTCTTCCTTCAGCCTCCAAGATCAGAGGCAGAGTTCTGTGCTCTCGTCCCGGGTGGGAGGCGAGACTCCTGGACTGTGAGTACCAGGCATGAGTTACCTGGCCCTCTGCATGGTCAGCGGCCGGAGGATGTGGCCAGTGGCGGGGGCCTGACCGAGGCATTGCCCGCCCTGGCTGACCTTTGCAATCAGAGGAGCGGCAAACCAAATGGCATTAAGAAATGTTGCAAAACATTCCAAAATAGCCTATTCTAGAATGATCTGGGTGGTGTGGGATGCGGTTTGGGACAAGGCAAGCCTTCTTCAGAGAAATGATGCTGGCGTTATTCTCCAGGGCTGTGTTATCAATTTGCTGGAAGTAACATTTCCAACTGCAGGCCTTATCTATGCACAAGAGGCACCTGTTTTTGGTTTGTTTTGCTTTTTGGCAGCATGTGGGATCTTAGTCTCTCGGCCAGGGATCGAACCCACACCCCCTGCACTGGAAGCCTGGAGTCTCAGCTGCTGGAACACCAGGGAAGTCCCGACATGCACTTGCTGCCATGCTTCTGGCAGTCCTGCCTTCTCTGTGTACCTAGCAAGTGGGGCGCTCATCAGTACTCAGGGCTTCCTGACAGCAGGGCTCTGGGAGGACAAGTGTTCCCCACTCTGCATGGTGATTTGGCCATAAAGGGGATCCAGATGCGATGTGGGAGCCTTGCTGAGCTTACCACACGAGGGAACTTTGGCAGATTTCCACGTCAGCACTTCAGAACTGGAGAAACAAGGCTCGGGGATCTGTCACACAGCCGCAGGCATCATGCTGACTGACCAGACATTTACTCGGGCACGTGGTCTCAGCACAGCTGCAGCAGAGCGACACCAAACCCAGGCGCCCTCTTCCTCCAGGGGACTCTAAATCAGAGAACGCGGGCACCTGTGTTATCTCCAGGGCGCCTCTGTGCTTGAAGTTGGAAGACCCTGAAACTGGGGGATAAAACAGCATGCCCACACCCAGATCAGCCAAGGGGGCCTTTCCTACAAACTTGTGCAGACTTGTGGGTTTTTGTGTCATTTAAAAACAAAAGATACCACCACTGACAAAAGCCAATGATGTCAGATTCTGCTGGCTTTTCTCAGTTTGGGGGAAATTTTGTGCACAGAGAGCAGCTACCAAAAATTGTAAACCTGGTCAGACTCTGTTAAAAATATAAAGAGGCTCCTGGCTACTCGCTGCTTATGGAAGGGATTTATTTTCCAGCTCTTGGACTCTCTCGGAAATGTTGATGTCTTGGGGGATCTCTATCAGCTAAAGACCTGTTCTTTCCTCTGAAACCACCTCAACGAATGGTAATCCCCGAGAACTCGAGACTGGCAGAGGGGCTGCTGCCCAAACAGGGTCAATTGCCTGCTTCTTAAAGATGCTTGCAAGGAACACAAATGCCAGTGCAGTACTTCCTCAACCCTGGTTATTTAACAGACCAGAATCCTCTCTGGGAAGTGTTTAATCCTGCATCAAATACAGAAAGGTGAACCACTGGCTTCAAACGAGTGCAAGTTCATTGTAAAGGCAAGCAGGTGCTCCAGAAAGGACCTGGGCAGCAAAGAAGGAGGCCTGGGAACAGCTCTCTGGGGAACAGCCTTGGTCACTTGCCAGTTCACTCCAGCGATGGAGAGAATTGAACAACGGGAAGAAAATCTTAACACATTTGGTGCGTGTGTAGATTTCACGGCTCCGAAGAAGATGCTTGGAAGGCGGGCATCCCAAGAGCCACAGATGCACCAGGTCCACATGGCACTTGGAAGCAAGCTGCCGAGGAGGCCGTGGCACCCATGCATGCTCCTCGCTGAGACACCCACGACTCCAGTTTGATGGCTGCGGACTCAGGACCAGCCTGCCCCCTCTTCCTGGGAGATGCCCAGCACCGACTTGTTGGGGATTCCACAGTCCTGCAGAGACTTGCTGAGGTCAGAGAAACGTCTCCTGGGCACCTCCATCGTTTCGACGCTGCAGGGTCGGTAGGTGGCCTTGTTCTTGTGCTCGGCCACGGCCACAACGGTCTGCAAGGCATCAGTTGGCCGGAAGTGGCGGACGAACCTTCGGCCTGAGGGTGAGCGGATGGCGAGCAGCAGTCTGGGCTCTTGATCTGATGGCTCTTCCAGGTCTCCAGCCCTGGAGGAGTTCTGTCTCTCGGTCCGCACGAGGACTCTCCTCTCTGGGGAACAGGCTTGAGCCTGGGGATCTTTTTCACCCATCTTCGTGGTGCAGGTCTCCTCCTGGGAAAGAGCCTGGGCGCTGCTAAGCTGCAGGGAGCCGGCTTTCTTAGCGACTGTCTCCAGGGCGCCCTCGTCCAGGGTCTTCCTGTTGATGGAAGGGAGGACTGGGTATTTATTGAGGGAAGAGGATGCCCCAAAGGGTACCTGCTGCAGCAGCTCTGGGATCTCACTGGGGGCTCCCTGATCTGGAGATTTGGGGGTGCAGGCTCCTGGTTTCTGGCTGCTCGGCGACTCGCAGGGAATGGCTGGAGGCAGAGAAGGTGGTGTGCGGCCAGAGCACCCCTCCATGCCCAGGCGCTTGTGCAGTCTTGGCCGAGTACGCCCCTTGGCGGACTTGGGCCTCGTGACATGCATGTTTAGTGAGTCTGGCTGCCAAAGGAAGCTGTCAGTCGCTGTGCTTCCACCAGGGCTGTGTTCAGGGGGGGCTATATTCACAGGGGCTTCGGTGGCCATGGCTTCTCAACACCCCTAAGGAAGCAGGAGAAAAGAGGAGGCCATGGGTTAAACGTTCTGGGACTTCTGGACCTGAGCCGTTCACTCCCCAGGGGCCAGAATAAGGACCAGTCACAGTGGGGGCGGGGGGAGGGGTGGTACAGAGCAGCTTCTGTCTAGAAGCTGCAATTCATTCATTCATTCATTCATTCACTTCAGGCATTGTAATTTATCAGTGAACCCAAGTCCCTGCAACTCAAAATATTATAGCGAGAAGAGACTGGTGTTAAACCCACAGCAAATAGATCTTTTGAAAGAGTAACAACTGCTATAAGGAAAATAAAAGTATTGCACCAGAGAGTGACTGGGCTTCCATGGTAGCTCAATGGTAAAGAATCCGGTTGGGATGAAGGAGACTGCCTACGAGGTAGGAATGCTTAGTTGCTCAGTCATGTCTGACTCTCCAATCCCATGGACTGTAGCCCACTAGGCTCCTCTGTCCATGGGATTCTCCAGGCAAGAATACTGGAGTAGGTTGCCATGCCCTTCTCCAGGGGATCTTCCTGACCCAGGGATGGAACCCGGGCCTCCCGCACTGCAGGTGGATTCTTGACCGTCTGAGCCACAGGGGCTCCTTTTTTCCTAAGAGGGCAAGGAACCCGGTTTGGTTGCCCAGCTGGGAAGCCACGCTCAGCTTCACTTAAGAGCTGAAAGCTAGACCCACAAGCGGCTTGCACTCCTTACAGAGGAGGGGCCCAGTCCTCACTGGGGAAGAGCCCCTCTCTGCCACGCGGTTTTCCTCCCTCCATCTTTCCTCCCTCTTTTCCCATCTCCCAGAGCTTCTTTTCATTCAACCCTGCTGTGTGGCTCTGCGCACGTCACTTCATGCACTGACCCTCTGTGGCCCCCAGTCACCAGGCCAGGGGAGGAGAGGAGACCCCCCTGCTGATCCACTCACTGGCCAGCACTCAGGGAGGACTCAGCTTCTAGACCGGGGTCGGCAATCCCTTTCCATAAATGGCCGGAGAGTAAATATTTTCGGATCTGTGGGCCACCTTCTGTCGCAGCTCCTCATCTCTGCCTGAGTGGTGTGAAAGCCGCCATCAACAGTGTGGAAATGAACGGGTGTGGCTTTGCTCCAAGAAAACTGCCTTTATGGACACTGGCGTTTGGAGTTCGTCATTTTCATGCGGCACGAAAGAGTCTTCCCTTTATTTTTCTCAACCATCAAACACAGTCGTTAGCTCGTGCAGTGCTGTGCTGAGTCGTCAGTCGTGTCCGAGTCTGTGTGTCCCCATGGACTGCGGCCCGTCGTGCTCCTCCGTCTGGGGGGATTCTCCGGACAAGAACACTGGAGTGGGTTGCCATGCCCTCCTCCAGGGGACCTTCTCGACCCAGAACAAACTCAGGTCTCCCATGTTGCAGGAAGATTTTTTACCGTCGGATCCACCAGGGAAGCCCTGTTAGCTCGTGAGCCACACGGAAACGGTGGTGTGGGGACCCTCCCTGGTGGTCCAGTGATCACGAATCCCCCGCGCCACGCAGGGGACGTGGGTTTCATCTCTGCTTCAGGAACTAAGATCCCACGTGCCGTGGAGCAACTAAGCCCGCACGCTGCAACCAGAGTCCGTGCAGCGCATCAGAGATCCCATGTGATGCAACTGACACCAGACACAGCCAGATAAATAAATAAATATTTTTTAAAAAGCCCAGAAAGGAAGAGTGACACCCCAAGGCCATCAAGCCAGCCTGAGAAACAGAACCCAGGTCCGTAACACCCAATCCTCAAGGACCAGGCTTGGCCTCTCCCCCACCACCGATCACGTGCTGCGTCTTTGCGAGCTGTTGATATTTCTGGCACGTTGCTTTCTTCATCTATACAAGTAGCTGCATGGCCATGAAAACATTATGTAACCAGCGCTAAACCTCAGCCTCTTTATCTGCATTAGGAGGACAGTAATATGAAGCACAGTAGGTAAGGCCGTGAAAACCAGACTTGTAAAGGTTCAGGCTTTTCTGCTTTAGGTTTCCTGTTTGTTTAGGGCTTTCAACTATTTAAGGTCCAGAAGTCTTACCAGCTGCCTCAGAGTTCTTCTCCAGGGTGTCCATGGTAGGTCCACTCCCAGTCACCTCCGACTAGCTGGGTGACTCATGGGACCCATGTCTGCCCCCCTCACTGCTCAGAAATGCCAGAAGGTGGACTCCAACGAGCTATTGCTTATGAAACTGTCCCCCAAAATGTGTTCTAATGTGTCCCTTCTTCTCCCACATTTTTTTAATTTATTGTGGCTACGCCCCACAAGGTGTGTAGGATCCTAGTTCTCTGACCACAGATCGAACCTGGGCCCTCAGCAGTGAAAGCAGTGTTCTAAGCACTGGGCCACCAGGAAGTCCTCCTAATCCCACCCTCGAGTCACATACCTACCTCTCACTGACTTACTCCAAGCGACTTTCATCACACAACCCTGAGTGATTCAACTCAAGCCTCTTAGTTCTGCACCCCGATATTCCCATTCTGTGCCTATTACTACCACTGCCTCATTTTAGGGTGTATGGCCTTCCTCGCTCCTAAAACCACAACTGAAAACAAACGCGCAACATCCCTGTGTGTTAAGTCCTACTCAGCTCAAAGTCTGCTCTGCCTCAGCTGCAAGGCCCTTGTGTGTACTCCACTGTGCTCACAGCCCTAGCCTTTCCACACGCCCAAGTTCCCACTTCTTGTCTTTCACACTCAATCTGGCTGCTGGGGAGTTTGGGAGCCTTCTCAGCATTAAAAAAAAAAAAAAAGCCTGCCCAACTCCTTGTTAATTTAATCTATTTTCTGATCAACTGTGAAGAATGTGGGTTTTTTTCCCCTTCAATTTCAAAGCCTTTCACTTGTAATTAAGCAGCTCTGCACCTGGACTCGGCGGCATGGGAAGGTCAGAACTGCCCAACTGTTCTGCCAAAGAGAAGCTCGACTGGGAAGCCGATTCCCCCTCTCTGCCCACCCTCCCCCCCTCCAGGAAGGGCTATTAATTCGCCACAGCTTCTACAGAATTATCACAGACTTGGCTTCTAACTCCCACACATGCCTGGGGAAGGTTTAACTGTCAGTAAGTTTGGTAACTTAGAAACCTCTTCCTTAACAACTTTGACGAGGAAAGTCATGTGTTCTCACAGGCTCTCTGCTGGATTATTTTTAACTGTAAAACTTGACTGTGTGCATGCACTTTCTATACCTTTCGGTGCTATATAATTATCCATGTTCAGGGGGTGTCATAGTCAAGACACCCTGGTCATAAGATAACATGACTTTGAGCTATCTCAGAGGGAAAAAAATCCTCAATTATGACTAACTCCTCTAAGCCCACTCATGGTTATTTAGAGATTAACACCTCCTTCAGGTAAAAGCGTCCCATCGAACCTGCTTTCATAACCCCCTGCCTCCTCGCGAGCGCAGGGACCATCTGCTACGTGGAGGGAACGCCAGCTCTCCTCAGCTTCTCCCGCACAGACAGGGGAGGTGGGGAAACAGGTGTCTGGGGACCTGGGCCGCGGCGCCTTTAGATTCTCGCGGTGGGTCTCACATTCTACCTGGGAGGCTTCTGCCACCGCCGTCGTCGGCCCTGCTCAGCTCAGCTCAGCACCTCTGGGCCCGGCACGCTCTCAACCACAGAGTGATTTCTGACAGGATCTAGGCGTGGGCTTCCGTCAAGCTGCCAGCCGAATAGGCAAGTGGCCTGTTTACTTAAATATGATAGCTGTACCCAGAGGCCTGCTAGGAGTCAGAAAACAAACACTGATAACTGTTCCCAAGGAACCGCCTAAAGGACAGGTGCCCATTTCTTAGGATTAATTCCCTAGGTGGCTGGAAAGAAGGAGAATTTTGACCAGAGAACCTAAAGTCATATTCCTGCTTCCCAAAGGCTCCGACCTCCCCCCAGCGGGTCAGACCACCCTATATCACTCACAACCCAAATCTAAGCCTACGATAAATGCAATAAAATATAACCACCCACACACCATCTGCTGGTATATGCCAAGGATACATACATTTGTTTTGAATTGGTCTTCTAAAAATGTTTATCAGTTGATACTCTCCCCTGCCAACCCCCACCCCTCCTTGTGAGGCTTTCAGGATGAAAACACTCAGAAGAATCAGGAGAGGACAGTTGGCCTCAAAATGAGAACACTTTGGTACCATTCCCAGTTCTGCCTGGACTAATGATTAGAATACACTGTCCTGTGCAGGCTGCCCCGTTCAAAAGGGGGTAGTGGAAAACGGGGCCACAAGGCCACCAAGTGATCAAAGGTTTGGAAAAGGAACTGGGCGTGATTCCAACAGGAGTGAGGAGCAGGGAGCAGGGCTCGGTGGAGGGGAAGAGCTCAATTCTTTCCCAAGCACAGGCAGCTCCAGAAGGAAGCAAGCTTAGGCAGCAGGAGCAATGTGGGAGCAGGGGCAAGAAAGAGCCTCTCGAAAGTGCCAGCTGACTTGGGTGAAAGAGCACCGGTCTGGGGGAGGCCCAGAGCCGGTTCCGGCCTCTGCGCATGTCACAGGACGTCCGCCTGTCCCTCGCAGTCAGCGTCCGGGCTGTGCTGCCCACCCAGGAGGACATGGCCCAGCGGTTTCGGTTTCCAAGGCCCCTTGGCTTCAGCAGAGCCCGGGAACCGTCCCGCTGCGGCAACGGTGAGCTCTGGCCAGCCGGGCTGGCTTTGCCCCTGGGGAGCAGCCCCCTCCCTCCGGGAACCCTGGCCTGTTTCCTGCGCTTCGCCCCTGGGCCCTGCTCTGGGGAGGACGGACGAGCCCGCTGGGGCTCGAGTCTGGCCCCCCAGGCCCCTGGGGAGGCGGAGGACAGATCCCGGGCCCGCCCAGCGGCCCCGCCGGCCGCGCTCACCTCCCCGCGCGGCTCCATCTGCTGTCGGTGGCAGGGCCCAGCCGCGGGTAAACAGCCTGGGTCTCCCGGGCAACCACGCGGGTGGGCGGCCACGTGCTTCCGGTCTGACCGGAAGGGCCAGAGGGGCGGGGAGGGGCTGGGCGCGGTGGGGTAGGGGGTGTCCCTGGGAGAGCTGGGGCTGGGACGCGTGCCGGCCCCTCCTGCCTCCTCTCCTACTTGCCTCGCTTCCTGGCTGCTCATGCCCTGGGGGGAGAGGACGCCAGGGGAGGGCAGCCTTGGTCGGGGGCTGGGGCGGCCTCCCGCCTGCCTCAAACCCTTTTTGTGAGCGGTGGCTCAGGCCCTGACCCTCCTAGTGTCCCGGGTTTTCAGATGAAGCTGCTGAACTGGCCGATTCTGGTGAACCCGGGAATCCCAGCGGCTGTTGTAGGGGCCTCTGTTTGCGTCTGGTGCCGCTTGTCTGCCTGATGTATGCGCCTTATCTCAGCGCCGCCCTGTCAACACTTGCCTCTTGACCTCCTCTTTTCCCCATCGGCCTCCCACTCCCAGGCCACATCCAAAACCCTCCTGTAACTACATCTGCAGCCGTCTGACCCTCTGACCACTCCTTCCGCTTTGGTTAACTCCAGCCACTTCTACCATACTTGTCTTCCAACGCCTTCCACAGGCTGGTTCATGGCCTTTTCTTCTTTCTCCCCATCAACCTGCGTCTTCCCTACCCCGTCGAATCCAAGCTCCCTTGCCTCAGCTGTTCCCTCTCAAGCCCTGACCTGCTGTCTTGCCATCATTCCCGCCGGATGAAATCCCAGCCAGTCCACCCACGGCAAGATCCTGAAGAAATCCTGACAGGCGGTGATGTCATGGACATATGCGGTCTCCAGCCTCAACTGGACCCTCAGCCTTGACACAGAAATCCTTCCCGTCTCCCCCAGCTTGGTTTTGACTCCTGTCTTCTCACTGGCTGTTTCAAACCTTGTCCTCTCTCCTGGAATCTCTCACCTTTCCCTATTCCTCCTCCTGCTCAGAAGATAACCTTTCTCTCTCTTCAGAGAGAAAATAGAAGCCGTCAGATGGAAGCTTCCTCAGCTTTCTGCCCTCAGACCTACAGACTCGCCTACTTCTGTCTGCTTGCTTTTCTCTCTCCCTCCGGTTGCAATGGGAGGGGACCCGTCCTCTGATTCTAAGACCAGTGGCCGCTCCAGGGCTGCCCTGAAGCCTGCCCCTGTCCACAGGGCCCTGCCCTTCCGCAGCCTTCTCACACTCCAGACCTTCATTCCTGCTGTCTCCTCTGCCTGGAACATTCTTCTCCAGTCTCCTCAACCCTTCATCCCCTTCCTTTGCCTCATGCCCACCTCAAATCCCAACTTAATAGATGAAGGTTTTCTTCCAAGATGGAACTAAGGGAGCCTCAGAAGGAGTCCTCCCTGGACTCTGGTCTGCCAGGACCTGTTCTAGACTCTTGAAATTCGCAAAGGAATGACTAGCGACTGTATCATCTGAGGACTTGGTGGCTCAGACGATAAAGAATCAGTTCACAATGCAGGTGACCTGGGTTCGATCCCAGGGTTGGGAAGACCCCCTGGAGGAGGGCATGGCAACCCACTCCAGTATTCTTGCCTGAGGAATGCCATGGACGGGGGAACCTGGTGGGTTACAAGCCATGGGGTTGCAAGGAGTCGGACACAACTGAGCCACTAACGCTTTCACACAGATTGTTAGAAGATCGTGTTAAGAGACATCCAAGAGCCGTGCATCATCAGAAGAAGGAATTTGGATTCATTGCGTAGCCTGATGGCGATACACTTGCTACCTTGGCTGGCTCAGATATGTGGACCCAGGGCTCTAGTGGAGCTCGGCCCCGACCCTCCGGCACGGTGTTCACACTTGGCTGAGCAGACAAGTCGCGCAGCCATAGGGAGTTACAAATCAGGTCCTTCTCAGCACAGTCTGAGCCACAGGCTGGAAGAGCAGTGCTGGCCAGACATGGTTATGTGCCAAGTGACTGGCAGGGACTGGAAGTTCTCCGGGGGCCTGGGGAAGGAGGGGTTGTTTCAGCAGAGGTGTCTCTTCCCATCTCAGAAGAGAAGCACCTGCTCTGGGGGAGCCGCTGGAGAGGGGCCAGGGCTGGGCCGGCTTCCTGCGCAGGTCACCCCCTCACCCGCCCTGCACACGTGGGGAGGCATCTGAGGACCCACGAGGGTGCAGAAGGTGGAGGTTTTTGGAGCTGATGGTTCTGCAGCTTTGTGCTCCCGGCTTGTTTCTTGTAAATGATTTTGTCAGAAAATATCTAAGCCGGGCTCTTCAGCCCTTCAACGCCCACCCCAAAAGAAGATGAAAGTGGATTCTTCATCAGTTATTTTAATATCACCTCAGGATTATGCAATCTTTTGGAAAATCAAATTGGCTTCTCACCCTGTTTGTGTGTGTGTGTGAGTGTGTCTGTGGGCGTGGATGTGTCCCCATGTGTGCTAATCCCGGGGTCTGTTTCATCGTTAGCGGTCTGTGCCTTTTTCTCCCAGGGGCCGTGGAATGCACAGCTCTGGGGGGAGGCTGCAGGGAAGGGAAACAGAGGAGGCCGGCCAGCCAGTTGCTCTTCCGCCTGCTTGTTAAAGAGAAGGCTGACTCTGTGCCTTTGTCTTGCCTCCTTTGAAGAGGATGTCTTTAAAGGATGAATCCTGTAATACCGGGTCTCTGACGCACATACAAAGTGGACTCTCAGTAAACATGGCCATGGATCACTGCCCTGTGGGTTTACATGTGGACTCACCTCCTTTCCAGCCCTGGGTCTCTCTGCTCCCCAGCCCTCATCCTGGGCTCCAGCCAGCTTGTTCCTCAAATGCAACCTCAGCTTTTTCATCTTCAGGGTCTTCACGCCTGCCTGCCCGACCTTGGTCCCTTCTTGAAGTTAATCCAGATTCACTGACCCTTTGAGACTCTTCTTAAAAATCACCACTTTCTTAAAGCCTTTCCTGACCATGCCCGCCGCCCCGCCCCGACACCCTCCTGTGCTTTCTCTGACCCCTTTCAGTCCAGTGGAACATACCAAAGATGGCACTGTGGACTTGACCAGGCCAGCTCTTCTGATCTTCATCATTCTCCTCCTTACAGTGTAGTTGTAAAAAACAATTGAACTTCAGAGCCCCCCAAGTTAATGATTGGCAGAGCAGTGTTAGAACCCCAGTTTGGCTGATTCCAAAGCCCATGTACCCCGAAGCCCCATCTCCCACCCTGGCGTTCCCACCTGGCACTCGCCCTGTACCCGCCTCTTGTGCAGGTCACGAGGTGGCAGGCATGACCTCTGGGGTCAAGGCTTGAGTTTGAATTCCAGCTCCACCACTTGCTAGCTGGTGACCTTGGGTAAATGCCTTAACGTCTCTGGACCTCAGTTTCACATCTGAGAGTGGAGATGATAAGAACAGGATTGTTGTGAGGGTGAAATGAGATAACGCATGTAAAGGTCTCAGCCCTGCGTGTGGCACACAGTGAATGCTTGATGAGGATTAAGTCCATTACCCTGTTGTTCTTGTCTCACAGGGCACCTCCCCTCTGTCGGTCATGATCTCCCTGTGGGCAGGAGCTTGCCCGTGTCGGTGTCCCCTGCTTTGTGGTAGGTACATAGCCAGTGAGAATTAAAGTAATGGCAGTGGTGATGTTGATTGCACCAGCTAACTTTTCTATGAGAGATCCTGCAAGCTGCCCATTGGTATCCCCCCACCGAGGGTATGTGGCTTGAAGTGGAAATAACCTCTCCCAGAGCTGGGCTGAAGGCAGGAGCTTCCGTTTCTTAGCAGCTTGTCCCCAGAGACCAACTGGCCTTTCTGTTTATTTTTCAATTAGAGACTTGTGGATTTTGGCGTCTGTGCCCCCGTGTCCCACTCTGTCTGTCCTCCATCTCATTAGACATGTCTGTTGAGATCACAGATAGCCTTGACGCAGAAGGTAAACTGGGTGGGTCCTTTGGTAAAGAGGCCAAGAGACTGGCACAGTTAGTCGTGCCTCCCGATGAATCAGCTTCCTGAGGGCACTACAGGAGAAGTTTCTAGAGAATGAAATTTGCCCCTTGAAGTACCGCAGCTTGTTTTTTTTTTTAATATTATTCCTGCCATATGGAAAATATCCAGAAATGTATTGCCTACTTCCCAGTGTTCTTCAGCAAAGCATACCAGACGTGGTAACTCACCTTGGCTACTGTTGACCAAGTGCTTTTACCATCGGGAGCTTGCTGAGTCTTGCCAGCAGTCCGTGGGGGGCCAGATTACTGTCTCCGCCCCACAGATGAAGACGCTGAGGCTCGGGGAGCTTCAGTGGCTCTGCCAAGAAGTGGTCAACTCTGCACAATGCAGCGTTTTCCTGGGGCTTGGAAGGCATTAACTACACCCCAGGTGAAACCCTGTTGACGTGACTGCAGCCATCTGCCCCGCACTCACAGCCCCAGGTTCACGGGCTCGGTCAGTTATCCTTTTAATCGTTCCTCTCTCTCCCTCGCCTCCTGCTAAGAGCAGCCACTCCTTTTGTCATTCCTGTCCTACTTCTGCGTCTAAGAAAAAGAGGCTGATTCTCTTGCTAGAATTTTGTCCTCCGTGAGAGCATTTTGCCATGCGCTTGGATGCTCCACATGGTCTGCAGTTCTGTTCTCTCAGCTGTGTTTTGGATAGTTAGAGGGCTTGGTTCAGTGACCCGAGGGTAAGGGGGTTTGGGGCGCTGAGTTTGGAGTCAGACGATCAGATGCAGAGGGCATGGGGTCGATCCCTGGCTGGGGAACTAAGGGCCCACAAGCCTCGTGATGTGGCGGACA